AAAAAGAGCAGAGGATCAGAAGATGATGATGATGACGTGGAAGGGCTTAATTTTCCAAGGGGTGATGATGGGCATTTTACACTCTCTGATGAGTGGCATATGGGGAATCACTGAATTACAGGTTGATAGAATAATAATAAGACCATTCATTTGCTCTCTCCAACTTGTTGATGTGACTCATTATATGTCTTCTGGGATGGCAAAATCATTTTAATTAACTTTTTTTCCACTCCCAAATACAGTTTTTAATTAATTTATTTAAGAGTAATTTTGGTATAGCTAAAATTATTTTTGTCATTTATAGAAATCATTTGTATATTTCATTGTCTAACTTTACTTTTTTCCTCAGAGAGGTTGACGGTTAAATCCCTCTATTCTCATAATCACTTCCATTTAAAATAGTTATGTTTGACAATAATATACCAGTGATTTTGGAGAATGACAAAAGTGTCAAAAATCATTTTCAAATATTTGGTTACCAACTTTTTCAAGTAATTTTTATATAATTAAAAAAGATTTTGAATCATTGATATTTAAAGTGCAAAGAGAGAATTTGACAAAAACTTTAAACATAAATCTTAGAGATAGAAATTTTAGAGGGTAACGGACACAAATTTACAAATTTTAGATAGAGAAATAAACTTACAAAAGAGATGAGAACTAAAAAATTACCTAGATAATCACACTCCAAGTGCTTGATTGGGAATCACTTAGGGCCGTTTGTTTCGTGAGAATCCAAGATTCCCATGTGATGGGCATCTAGATTCCTATGTTTTGTTTTGTGAGGACATCGGATACATAAGAGGCATCTTCAGATGCCTGAAATTTTAGATGTCCAGAATTTTAGATCTTCGATATCTTCAGATAATCATGTTTGTTTCGTAGGAAAATATATAAGGATGTCCGAGAATCTGGATAGCCACATTTGTTTTGCAGGATTTTTTAATGGGAATGTGTAAATTTTATATAATGTTCCAAAAACGTCCTTACGAATATTAATATAATTTACACATTAATATAATATAATTTGCATTTATGTAATAGGTTTTCTTAAAATTAATTTAATATTTTAGGTTTTTTTTATATTAATTGTATATATGTATTAATTTTTTGTATGTTATTAGGTAGAATTCATATTAATATAAGACTTTTTTAAAAGTAATTAATATTGAAAATAAATTTCAAATTTTCAATTTTAATATTTTTAAAAAAATACAGTTATATAGTTAATGTTATATGGGGTAAAATTAATTTATTATATTATTGTAAAAAGAAAAATATCAAAATTAAGCTAATTGTTAAAAAAGTATTACTTTGAAATTATATATTTAAGATAATAGATATTATTTATAATATTCATTCCAAATATTGAAAGTAAATGGAGATATTATATAATTTAATTGAAGTTTATTTTATATGTACATGTAATACATAAATATACTTAATTGCTTATTAGTCAATGAATATATTAATTTATTTAAACTATAAAATTACAAAAAAAAACCCAAAGAAATTTGATAAAAGAAATTATATGAAAAGATAACGAAGAGGTAAAAATGTCAACATAGGATATCATCGACATGCGAGTCATGGAAACCTATGTTTCAAAAAGACATCCAAATCGACTTGGATGCTTTCCAAATGGGCATCCTTGGATATCCAGACATCTCGAAATACCCAGGTATTCTTACATCACTACAAAATAAACGTGGGAATCCAGATGTCCGTTTTCATAGGAATCTTGGATTCTCATATGAAACAAACGATCCCTAAGTATCTCAAGATGTCCAGATACCCTAGGATGCCCATACCGGAGGACATCTAATAAGCTTTGGATGCCCTTTTGAAGTACGAGTTTCCAAGATTTCCGTGTCGATGGCATCCACTCTTTACATTTTTGCCCTTCATTTAATTTTAATACTTTGAAGCAATTATATTATTAATAATACTTATTATCATAAATATATAATTTTAAAGCAACATTCTTTTTATGACCCGCATACATGTGAGATTTTTCCTCATAATGTAATGATAAGAAAAATAAATTTCGTCACCTAAAATAACACCCATTATATAATTGTGTTTTTGAAAAAATATTAAAGTTGAAAATAAAATTTATATTATATTAATATGAATTAATTTGTTCTACAAAATAACATAAAAAACAAAATACTAAATTAGTGAAAACAAATCTATTATATTAAATGAATGCATATGAATATTCTAAAGCTACTCTTGGAACATTCTATAAATTTAAAATATTATCGAAAAACAAACGACCCTTAAAGTGATTTTAAACTTTTCACTATCTCAACAAGATTTTATGTTGAAGAATTACATTTCAATTATTCTAAAGGATGGATATCTCATGATAATAATTAACTTCGAACATAATTAAACGATAATTGACATACATCTACAACTAAGAGATTATGAGTTGGATCATCTATCCCACATGTTGTACTAAAAAAATAATAATAATAAGTTACTGCTCTTCAAAACTCACGTTGGAATTGCCAAACGACACTTTCTCCTGAGATTTATATTTTTGTCCTAAAATTTGGTACTTTGAAAGTTAAAAAATGTTATATTTCGGGTTTTCAAAATTTAATAAGTTTTATAATATGCTAAGTGGTTGCTAAGCCTTTACCTAAAAAGTCACAAGACTTCCTTTATTTTTATTTTGTTAAATTTTCTAACAAGATTTTCTTCAATTTTTCATTTGACTATTGAATGTTTTAAACCTATTTTTCATCAATTCATTGCTCAAATTTTAACAGTGAAGACTAAATTTGAAACTTGAACATCTAGATTTTTTAATAAAGACTAAAATGTTGTTTTCAAAATAATAATATGATAAAACTGCAGCAGAGAGTGGACAAAGGACAAAGTCTGTCAAAGAGCATGAGTTATAAGAAAGGTGATAATGATTTAATCAAAATATTAATTAAAAGCATACTATGTTTGAATGTATCTAAGAAGCAAATGATGGTTTAAATTATTCAGCAATTAATATTATTAAAGTTATGAAAAACAGTACTTTTTGGAATGCATTATTAGAAGTAATTAATTAAATTGAATATTAAAAAGTGTGCAGAAGAGCATAACTCGGATTATGGGTTAAGAAATAATTTAATTAATCCTTGTTCGTGAAGCATGTTTTATTTCTTAATAATTACCTCGACTTCCTCGCTACCAAATGCATGCTTTCTTACATATGAATTCGTCAGCAAATTCATCCACTTTCCCATCTTTATGTATTTAATTTACTCGAATTCATCAATGTTATGTTTAAGAAATTGTTGGGAATTTTATGTTGTTGATTGTTTTAATCAAACACCTATTATTGAATTTTTTATAAAATATAGTTTCAATTTTGTGGCAATTTTTTCTTTATCATTTTATCAATTTGAAATGATTAGTCTAAATTCATAAGGTGACTTGAACTTAAAAATGTTTAATAGGTATATGTGTTGAAAGGAGATAGCCAGATCCTTAACCTTTTAATTTATCTATGTTAAATGAATCAACAATTTTATGATTAGAAATACTAGGCTTATTAGTTAACATCTATTAGCTAGTTATGGTGTTATATTTATTTGTATATACTTCATCAACAATATCATGGCACACTTTAAGTTACTCACTAGCTTAATTAAAAATATAAGATTTTTGTATTTGAGAAGTTTTAATTAAGGAATCTTTTATCGTTAAAAATGTTTTAACATATATTTATAAAGGACGAATCGTCATTGAAAGTCTTGATTTTTCGTCGTTAAATGTATTAGTAAAGAGTGAAAATCGACCTTTATAAATATATGCTCAACGATTAAAATACCTATAGTTCCTTTTCGAGAAGTTAAGAGGCTCTATCCCATAACTTTTACCTTCATCCTTTAAGAGGGAAGCACCAAAACTTATCAGGTTTTGCATAATATTATGAAGCTTTGCCTTATGACACCATCTCCCAAGAATAATGAAATTGCTTCCGTGTAAATATGAGAAAATATTCAATTCATCACCCTAATGACTATCTTCCTGGAGAAAGCACACAACCCTAAACGTAACTTAACTTTTTAACATGTCCCAATAATCATACCATCACTTAATAATGATATTAATTGTTGATGTATAAATTTAATCTAACATGATGCCAAATTCGTAGCACTCATCTTTGAATAAGGGGATTTGACTGAATTTCCAAAAATAAAGAAACTACGCACTCATAAAACCTCGAGAATTCCCTCAATCCAAGAGACATCCACTTGAAGGCTACATATTTTTTCAAAATACTGAAAAGATAATGTACGTTGACCCATAAGTTGCTCGGGCCCAACCACCACTCAACTAAAAACCTTAAACTGATTGGTTAGCTAAATTTAATTCATTTATGAGTATCTCAACACATGAGAGCTTGACTCATTGACTAAGTTCGGCCTAGGGACTTTGAGCTCAATCATCAAGTCTCGAGCTAAACCTCGATCCATGGGCTGCTTAATTAGCCCAATGGGGCTTATTCTCATGGGTGGTCTAACCCATGGCTTGTGCCTCCGGCCCTTGACTTACGATGCTTGGTTTGTAGGCTAGTTCAGTAGAAATTCGTGTCAAAAGACTCGACTCTTAGATCATCCTTGAGCCTAAAGGTATAAGACGATGAGGATTGGCTTTCTAAATTTTTCTACTATACTCACTTGTGAATAAGACTTTTTCCTACCCATAACATTAACAACCAAGAAGAGTGATAGAATCACAAAATTCAAATCTAGGAATATAATTAACCCGAGTATCAAAATTTAGTTGTCAAGTTAAAAAACATAAACATTTATTTTTTTTTTCTTTTTCGGAAACAACCCATCCAAAAAAGAAGGAAAAAAAGAAGCACTTTTTTTGAAACCATGCTTTCTGTGCTCTCGTGCACATGTAGAATGGAAACTATACACGTAAAATAAAGCAATTCTCCTTTCATTGTCCTCTTAAAAGGCATAACATTATTATTAATCTGTTTGGTTTCTTTTCTCTCCTTATTAGCTTCGAAATTCCAAATGTCGGGGTAAGGTAAGTAAGACTTAAGACTCGAGAGTTTCTTCTTTTCTAATTTTCCCTACAAAACAAAACAACCCTTTAAAGCGTTTGGATTGGATGTCGTGTGTTTGTTTTGTTTTGCTTCAATTTAATTATATTGGCTTCTTTTCGTTTTCAAAAGCCATGAGCTAAGCTCTTTCACATGGCTTTGCCTCTCACACAGTCCCAAACCTCTTCATGACTCATTGCTCGAGGCTGTCCCTAATCTACCTTATGTTTAATTTCAACATTTTAATCATCCTTCCTTACTCTAAACTTAATAATATAATCATCTTTTCAAGTTTAATTATATAGCCTATCGAGTACCGAGTATAAATACTGTTTCATCAATTTCAAAATTTTTAATCAAAACTGATTCAATTATATCGTTGAATTGAATAACGAAATGATGATGTACATTTGGAGTGTCATATCCATCATATCTAGGCAGGTTCGATCCAAACCTAACTAGCTGAAATTCGCATGAAGGTATGATATTATCCGCGACTTTACTTTTGGTATCATCCAACAGTCTTATACCAATGAAGATGTTGTCACTCATATATATATACCCATTACCTTTTCGGTCCCTAGTCAATATGAGACTATGTTTGCGTGCCTCACAAACCCGATAGTTCAAAATTTGAATGAAAGGTCTATGATAGGGGATTGTATTGAGAGTTGTATTCTCTGGAATTTGCTCATTCTAAACCAAAGATAGTAAAATATACCTAAAATGAATGTAAATCAAATTTATGTTCTCTGTTTTATTTTAGTATTGAAATTTAGCGTTATTGATTTCCGAGAAAAAACAGTTGTTGTAGCTCTGTTTTCACAACAAAGGTAAAGCTCATTGAGTTTTTAAATCAATTAGGATTAACCAATTTCGAATTAAATGAATATTACAGTCCATTTTAAGAAAAATAAAACTTACGAATTAAAAAAAAATCTCATTCTAATTAAATCAGTGAATACATGATGATATGCTATGTAAAGTTAACCGCAAGAACAATTTAAATGTTTCCCAATTGAAATGCTCTCTCCTCTCTTTCTATATATTTTAAAATTTTAAAACCATAAAGTTCTTGGTTCTGAGATTTGGCAGAGAAAAGTAAGTACAAAATCAGGTGGTGTTGAGAACAGCCATTCTTTCTTTCTGAAGTTCAGATGGTGTCTTCACATCTGTGGCCAAACCAAGAGCTTGAAGAAGCCAAACAACGTACCATGTCATGTCGAACTGCCACCACTCGAGGCCGTGCCGAGCTGAGAACTCGAATGCATGGTGGTTGTTGTGCCACCCCTCTCCAAATGCAAGCAATGCCACCCACCTTCACCAGCGAACACATATTATATATTAGATCGCACAACACTTCACAATAAATCACGTTTTCATCGTCGTCGTTAAATTTATATAGCTTCATGAACTCTTATTGAAATAATATCGTCGATATACTCGATTAGTTGGAAATTAGTCAAGAAAGTTACCAATTGTTTCTAGACAAATCCCCTGTTTTCCAAGCTTGTTTTCCCCATACATGGCAAGCTGAATTCACCAGCCAGGTGATGTGGTACACCCATACTATTCTCACACCCTGAAATCAAGAATCAAACACAAGATTTACACTTATTTTAATTATTTCAAATTCACATTTCATAATTGAGTAATCAAAATTTGACATAGTTATGGACCATGGAGAGAATCACAAAAAGCCCACAAGAGCCCAAAACAGCTCCATTTGGGTAGCCCACTTCTTCCAAACTCAAGTAAACTATTTCTTTTTCCTTTGACAAAGACAATTGAAATATAAAATTTGAATGTAATTAGTATTAATCAAGTCTTTGTCATTCAAATGGCCCAATCAATAAAAAACTAACTCCTATATTTGGACTATTTTATTTTTGCCTTAATCCTTTAAAATACCCACTAATTTAGAAAAGAAGAAAAAGACCCCACAACTAGAAAAACAACTCATTCACCCAAAATCAGTAGACAAAAAGGAAAAAGAAGTAAATTTTATAGAGAAATAGAAAGAAAAGAAGAATCCTTACCATTCCCCAAACAAGGAAAGGAAATCCACCAATGGCATAGAGCAGAGCACCAAGGGCAATTGGATGAAGAAGATAAGTGCTCTGAACAAACCTGTAAAATGGCTGCTTCTGCAAATCCCCAACATTGTTTACCTCTCCACACTAAGAGAAGAAAAAAAAAAAAAAAAACCATCACCAAAAGAAACCCAAAATTTAAAGTTAGAACAACCATTCATTTTTGGTCAATTATTCAGCCATGGGATCTGAATTCTCACCCTTTCAATCATGGCATTGGTATCAAACAGCCAACTCATGTGGCTGAACCAAAACCCTTCAATTGGGCTATGTGGGTCTCTCTCGGAATCGCAAAATTGATGATGGTATCTATGTGTGCTTACCCAATCGATCGGATTTCCCTGCCAAAAAAATTAAAGTTAAATTTTAAGTTAAGAGTTAACTGTGTCTCATAATTGTAGTCCCACTTTAAGTTATTGATCTATTCGATATTTTCGTCATCTGAACATAGCACAACAGTTATGTTTGATTAGAAGTTCGTATGTTTCAATTCTCACCACAAGATGTATTCAATATTTTCTAAAACCTATGGAGAACTAATGAGATACAAAAGGGGACTTGTTAGACAGAATCTTAAACCTAAAGTTTAGGAAGTCAATCAAGAATTTAATAAAAAATCTAAGACAACCCAAAAAATGGAAACAAATGTAAGTACAGAACAGAACAGAACAGATTTTGAAGAAAGGGAGAATGGGATTTTCAGAACCTGAAGGGCTTGAACTCCACAATAGGCGAAGAGATATTCAAGCCATTTGGGAAGTTTGAAGCTCCGGTGAGAGAGATTCCGATGATAAGAGAGGGTAATTCCGAAGAGTCCGGTGACAACGTACAGAGAAATCGCCACCCAAAATGCCGCCCAATTGAACTGAAACGGAGCCAGAAGAGTTAGTAAATGCGTCGCCACCACCACGCCGGCGGTTCCGATGTCCAGAGAGGTCCATTTCCGCCCCCAAAACACCTCCCTCCGCCGCCTCACCACCACGTCCGACAACAAAATCCTCCTCCCATCCGCCGCCGCCGGCCGCGACGCCTCTGCCTCGAACGCCTCCGCCGGCGGTGGAATTGCTCTGTTCAGATTCAGGGTAGGCGAATTCAGCCTCAGGGATTTGAAATCGCGCCGACCCACAAAATTTAGGGATAATGGGTCGGGGGAAACCCGGGGGAAATGGACGGGCGACGGCCGTGGGCGGTGGATCGCGCGGTGGAGGGAGGGGAAGCGGTGGAATTTGGAATCGGACGGTGGAGAATTGAGAAGCGCCATGTGGAGAAGTGATTCAGAATTCGCCGACCCTTTGTGGGTATTAAATCGAAGCAAAGAGTTGTCTTTTTCCAAATGGAGTTGTGGCTCGAAATCACTTTCAAACAAGAAATTTAACCCAAAGAAAAAACAAAAAGGGACGAAAAGGTATCAGGAAAAGAGAAAAATAGAGATAAGGCAGAAACGGAATTATGAGATTTCTGCATTTGTTTAGTGGAATTTGAACCAGATATTTCAATCCCTTCAAGATAACCCAAACCCAGTTCTCTTTTGTCTTTATTTTACCTTAAAAAAAAGGGATATTTTAGATTAATTTTGTGTTCTTGCGTCTCTCTGTTTCAGTGTCAAAAAATGGGAACTTGAATTCAGAATTGGGTCCATTTCCATACATTTTGCGTGCTGGAAAATCTAAATCCAAACACGTCAATTCCAGCACCATTTTCACGCTCTCAATTTCGGCGAGTCATAAAGTTTTACCGGTGCTGGGTCGCTTTTGTTCGGCGTTGTGATCATGGGTCGGTGCCATGATGGTAAATGTAAATTATAAATTTCTAAGGTCTCTATTTTTTGAATATTGCATCAATATTACTGCATTTGAATTATGTTTAGATTAAATTTATAAAAAGTGTCCCTATCATTTAAAAAAAGTATTATTTTTATTTTTTCATAAATTTGTTGCTAGATAGACATTTGAATTCATAAACTTTTAATTGAAAATAGCTATCTTACCCTCGACTTTAAACATCAATTTATTTGAAATAATATTTAATTTTTAAAGAGATACAAGTATTTTTTTAAATAAAAGATAAAGCGGGGGAGCAGCTTTCTTATTATTATTTTTAATATATATATATATTGGGGTAGAGGTTGATGTTCGACGAGAAATTCAACAAAAAGAGAAAAGTCGAATTAATGAACTTGTGTTTGTATTTATGTACGTAGGTGTAACAATCTCTCATGTATAATCTTCTGAGTAATTCTCTCAAATGTAAAATTTAATTAAAGGACTTATAAGCTTGTTCTTGAATTAGTGGTTGATGCCTTCAGCTTCTTGTTTGTCGAAGGTTCTTTGAAGTCTTCGGTTTTGAGCTTGTTGAAGACTTTGACTTGTTGATAAAGTTCTTTGGCTTGTAGATTGATGAAGAATTTGTGAAGTTTTCAGCTTTGAGCTTATTGAAGAATCTTTGAAGTCTTTGACTTTGCGCTCGTGAAGTTCTTCGGCTTTGCAGCTTGTAAAATGCTTCAGCTTTGCAGCTTGTGAAGTTGTTTGGCTTTGCAGCTTCTAAAATTCTTAGACTTTGCAGTTTGTGAAGTGCTTCGACTTTGCAGTGTGTTCAAGTTCTTCTGCCAATTTGATGAAGACTTTGCAGTTTGATGTTCAAGTATTGTTGCTTGGGGAGAGAAGATTCAATGTTGAAGTCTCACATTCTTCAAGTATCGAATTCTTGTTAGACGATTTTGAGTGCTCCAAATCTCTAAATTTTCTAGTTCTCTTCCAATCCTTCTTCCCCTTCTCAAATGAGGGGTCACCCCTCTATCTATAGAGTCTTGGTGGGTCTTATATGAGTAATGGCTTAATGGGCCATGGACTTGAGTCCAGTCTCTTAATGAGTTTTGATCAAATTAGTTGATTTCATCGTAAGAAAGACACGTGGTATAATTTGATTCGTCGATTTTAAAATTAAATTTAGGACACGTGTAATTTTATCATTGGTCTTAAATATAATTTTAATTTTGTGACATGGTATTTAGTAATCAACATTGGAATTCAAGATTTTTTTTAAGTAAGAAATAGATGTTCTGTGTGATTGAATTATGTTTGGTCTGATAATATTGATATCCAATGGCCATGTTTGAGGCGCATGCATGGCGGCCGACTTAGAAGTTACAAGTTGTGTAGAGTTCTCACCGCGTGGGACTCTTTTGCTCTTATCTACAAGCTTGCACGATTCCATATGTAACAAAATCACTTAATCGGTTTATATTATAGTTTCTCTCTTGATTTTCTTTCTTTTTTTTTTTTTTTTGAAATATTGTTTGCTCTATAGTCCTATTTAGTTTTTCTCCCCTTGTGACGTACTAAGAAAGGGAGGTTTAATTTTGGTACCATAGGTGGAACGAGTCTTGTCTACGAATTTTAGTCTCGTTCACTTTGGCCAAATTTCTTACACTAGATAATCAAGACCTAAGAGTTAATTTTCTCATTCCACAAGATGAAGGAGATCACATATTAACCATAAGAAAGAATAAAAGGTAGAGACACCAAAAGTTGACACAAAAGTTTATTGATTTGTCCAAAGTTTGAGACTATATTTACGGTAACTACCTATATTCTAATAACCACAGCAATAGTTACTTAAGAATACATAACGATTCTAACTAAATAAAATAGACCAAGTACTTTTGAAGTTGGTTGTGTTCCATCGATTTCAAATTGATCCAATTATTTAGCAAATATTGTTGGAAAAAATATTCAATCGACACTTGATTAGATTAAATAATCTAAAACTTATAAGTAACAAGAACGATAATAAAGATTAGGGAGAAGAAAATTAAACACCGAATTTATACTAGTTCAGTATAGGCTACGTCAAGTTCTCTGCAACCGTTGTAAGTTCTACTAAAATGGCAGGAAGAATCTTCCAAGAGTTTGCAAGTCCCTTACAATGATTTCTCTCAGTTTTCCCTCACATATAAAACGCTCACGAATCACTCCACAAGTCTTTCAAACTCTCGAACGGATACACAAGTATTTAGCTCTCAAACTCTCTCTTCTTGGAGAATTTCTCACGACTCTTTATTTGTGCACACCAATCAAATGACCCATCTATCTTTATTTATAATAGATGGTTTGACAAAAACTAAAAAGGGATTGGGAAAATAAAAAAGTCCAAACTAAATAGGACAAGGAAAAATTTAAATGGACCGTTTCCTTATAGGAAAAATATATTCTCCTTGGTTTGGCTCCATAATCCCAACAAATGCATATGTTGTAGCAGTTCTCGATCAAGCAAAGAATATGTTACAATTGTACGATATTGTTCACTTTGGACATAACTCACGACTTTACTTTTGGTTTGACTTAAAAGGTCATGAAGATAATTATCCTCATCTATATATCATTGATTACTCTCTTCCCTAACCAATATAGAACTTTGCACTCCTTACAAATCCAACAATATCTCTCCTAATTACGAAACTAAAATTTTGTTGTAAGATTTGGTTCGATAAAATCTTCTATCTCCCATTTTTAAGGGTATTTTACTTGTATAAAGGGTCACTAAGTGCCATCACAATAAAGTAGGTAGAGAAACTAGCAGCAATCTTATCCTATTCTCTGAGAAAAAGTTTTAAGAGGTAGAAACATTTTCGAGTACTTTTGTGGATATTCAATTGTTCCCAAAGTCTTGAAAGCCAAGCTTTCCCTAAGAAATACAATTATTCTCTCTCTAATTATTCACACATAAAAAGCCTTCTCAACAGAATGAGACTCTCACACAAAATATGCCCTCCTCACATTCTCACCACACACAATAAAACCATATGCAACTTCCTCTCTTGCAAACACAAAGCTTTCTCATTCTAAACTTGGATTCTAAGCTCTCTCAGCTGGGGAATTCCTCATCTTTCACAACAATTTCCCATTGATTGCATCATTTCTATTGGGTATGACATTTTTCTCTTGGTTAGAATTTCATTTTAATGTTTATTGGTGGTCTGCATTTTCTTTAATAACTATGTATTGCTTTAACTGGTCTATTTTTTGAAGTGTTAGACTTGGTGATTTCCTAGTTTTCTATGCATAAGGGGTTTATTGGAAACCCGTAAGGAATATTAAGACCGACAAAGTTGCATAAAATTGAAATTTTGCTTAGGAAAAGACCAAAAAAAGAAGGGAAAGAAAAAGAAAAAAAAGAAAAAGACTCTTTTCATGCTTAGATTATCAAAGTTCATATTAAAATAGAGAAGACCAATTTGGATCTATTTAATGTCGGATCACTTTGAAAAAGTGACAATGATCTTCCTCAATCAAACACATACCGGTTAGGCTTTGTTCTCCCGTGAGGATGGAAAGATGTAGGGCTTACTAATGGGTCAATACACAACTTTTTCAATTATCTTGAAAATATATTTGAATTCTTAATCAAATTTCGAAAACAAAAGCAATCTTTCGAAAACTTAACTTTTAAAAACAAAACAGAAAACCAAAACGAAAGGTTATTAAACGGAACTTAATCACCTACTTGAAAATAATTATACTTTGCACACCATAATATAATATTAGAATTAATAAAATTTAATTTTGTAAGAGTAAACTCACACAAATTTCTTCTACAAAAGTTGGTTCCTGTTATTTTCTACGAAAAGTAATCAATCCACAGATTCAAGTCAGTTCTTAATCCACAAATGGAACTTGGTATACGGGCGTGAAAGTGAAGGATCTAGTTTGTCTTGCTTTAGTGTGAAAATGAAGAGTAATTAATGATCATCATATAGTGAACAGACAAGTTAAAATTATAACATTCCCCACCTACTTAACTGTGCCCTTAATTAACTTCATTTCCCTATTACATTCACACACTGTTACTTAAAACCACAGTTCATAGTGGATACCGCAGTTTCCATGAAAGATGAAACTTAACCAAAACACTCTGTGCACTAAAAAAACAAATTGAAGAACTCCAAATAACTATGAAATTCATCCCAAGAATTTAATATCCCCATAATAACTAAAGAGAGACCAATTAAGTTTTGTTGCTCACATTGAGTTATAACTTATGATTTCAGTTGGAAGAGCACGCACTGAATTATTGGCCTCAAAGCTCTAAATGCATATGCTAGAGGAGGTGGTGAAGCCTCAACCAGGGTAAGCCCTTAATAATGGAGGCATCAAAACAAGAACCAAAGGAAATGATGAAGCCTCCAAGGCCATATGAGAGGAGAAAATGGACTAAATTAGACAAAGACATTGCTTGTTCTCTTTTTCTTGTGCATCTTCTTTGTATTTTGGCACCATTTCAGTTCAATTGGAGTGCATTTTGGGTTGCTTTTGTGTTGTATATTGTAACCGGTCTTTTTGGAATGACTCTCTCGTATCATAGAAATCTTGCACATAAAAGTTTCAAGCTTCCTAAATGGCTCGAATACTTGTTTGCTTACTGTGGAGTTCAAGCACTTCAGGTTTGCTCTTACTTCRCTATTAATCAATGTTTATATGGATTAAAAATTAATGAATAAATAATAATTTTTATTCTTTTTTTAATTTTAGGGTGACCCAATGGATTGGGTGAGTACGCATAGGTGTCACCATCAATTTGTTGATACTGAAAGAGACCCACATAGCCCGATTAGAGGATTCTGGTTTAGTCATATTTTGTGGCTTTTTGATTCTTATAATTTGACTAAAAAAGTTTGTCCAAAGTATTTTAGTAATTTTCAAAAGTTAGAAAGAAACATCTTTGTATTATTTTCGAAGCATGGAAAACCGGAGAATGTTGCAGACTTGGAGAAGCAAGCCTTTTATCGGTTCATTCACCAGACATATCTTCTTCATCCAATTGTTCTTGCAGTCATACTATATGTTGTTGGAGGAATCCCTTTTCTCGTATGGGGAATGGTAACATGAAATTACTCTCTCAATATGTTTCCTTTTCAGTTACTAATCTATAAATCATAGGTAACATATACAATTTTAATTACCTTATCAGGCTGTGAGGATCGTAGTGGTCTTACACTTTACACTTATGGTAAATTCAGTATGCCATATATGGGGAAAGCAATCATGGACAACTGGTGACATGTCAAAAAACAATTGGTAATTCCTCATTACTCTCACTACTATTATTGGAGTGTATACTAGTAATTTTGCTTTTACATAAATCCAAACCAGATGAAATTCAACAAGATTTTAGTAAAGAATAAATATGAGTATAGCTCTATAAAGTAACACAAATTCTAACCTACTTAATTATACAGCGATGAACTAAAAAAATATATTTTACCTATAATATAATCACTAATGGGTAAAAGGTTAATTTAAATAGTTGATTGTTTTGTTTTTTCTTTTAATCTCTGTTTCAATATAGTAATAATCCTTTAGATGGTAAGTTTGTGGGTCAATTAAGAAAATGACGAAATTTATATGCAACTTTCTTATTTATAAATATAATATAGATCCATATATGTCGTAAGTGTCAAATTACCTGCAGATAATACCTATTAATTTAATTAATTAGTTACATGAATTTTTACGCAAAAAACATTTACTACCAAGTCCCAATTTGTTTTGATTTTTTTTTTCTTTTTTGAGATATTGAGCATGAAAGTGAATGAAGTTCATCCCGATCAAAATATTATTCAATATTTAATAAAAAGGACTATGTGTTATATTTGTGTTTATGATGTAATTAAATATAACATTGTAATTTTCTAGTTATTACAATATTTGATTGATTATAGGTGGGTGAGCTTAATCACATTTGGAGAAGGATGGCACAATAATCACCATGCTTTCGAATATTCAGCTAAATTTGGCCTTGAATGGTGGCAACTTGATTTTGGTTGGTACATGATTTTGTTTCTGCAAGCCATTGGAGTGGCCACTCATGTGAAATTACCCTCTCAAAGTCACATGCAAAATGCTACCTCTAGACAAACAAGAAGATGAATTTCTAAAATGATATTTCATATGGAAACAATAATTTATGCTCCTCTAAATGTTTGAGAATATGGAGTAAGAAAATGATGCCCATAATTTTTAATTTTGTTTGTAGGATGTGTAATATTTCAATATATATGATATCGATGAATTATGTCGTGTTATGATTTGATTTTGTCCAGCATTTTATTTTTAGTTTTCTATTTTTAAAAATTATGTTGGCTAGCTTCCTCTAATTACTTTGGTATGTTTGTCACATTTTAGAAATCGCAAGTGACTTCTTAGCTTAATTTCAAACAAAAAATAAGTTCTAAAAATTATTTGTTATAGTTTTCAAAACTTGAATTAGATTTTGAAAATATTGAAAAAAAAATAAACTTATTAGAAATCCATGGATGAAATGTTGGGATAATGARGCCAAAATAAGAGGAGATCGGTGTCGAAAAGAATTTTCAACACTAGAGCGAATTCCTTATGTTGTATAGAACCAAATAAAAGATAATTCTAGGTAGTCATTATTAGGGTATTTAGAACAAGATATTATGATATATTGAGTGAGATCTGTTAAGGATCCCAAATTGAGGGGGCACGTTAAGGGTCGCACATCGAAAAAAGAGAGACCTAACAAGGGTTTATAATACACGTGGACTCTGCCAATTGATTTAACCCCATTAACATTGATATGATATAAGAGCCCAAAAAATTTATTAATTTAATTTAACCCTAGTCATTCCTACCAAATGAATAAAATATATATTCATCCTATCAGATTTCAACTTTGATTTATTATTGTTAAAAAAGAAAACTTTGATTTATTATTATTATTATTATTATTTTGATGAAAAGATAGGAGATATTTAATTAGAAAGTACATGAAAAATATACCAATGAAAAGCTAAATGAAAATACTTCAATTAAGCAATACGGTAAAAATATCATAATTACAAAAAGAAAGGAAGACGAATGAAAGGCGAACCAAGATTAGAGAATATTTAGCTGTTGAGCTCCAACCAAATGTGACATAAAAGCTAACCCACCATAGGATACCAAAGGGTAGAGCATTTAGATTTTGCTAACAAAAAGATCAACCTCGATAATATGAAAGAATCAATTGAGTCATAGAGCGCAATTGAAAGCCTAAATTCGTTCAACAAAGTGTAGTAGAGCTCCAAAGAAAAGGGCAATGCAGAATGATCAAGGTACTCATTGTTTCTTTTCACAAAGAACACACCAGTTGGGGTTGAGATGAAGAGTTTTCATCCGAAATTAAAACAATTAAGTATGTGCAATTGTAATGGTAATTAAAAGACAATAAAATAAATACCGGCGACACAAAAATATTTTTAATGTGGGACAATTTTCAACCTAATTCCGTACCATATTAATATTAATATTCATCAGGTTTCATGTTCAAACCAATTGGTAATGAGAAGAGTGGTTTATATCTATTATAAACCTATGGGATCCTTAACAGAGCCCACCCAATAGCTAAAATTCCTTTGAACAACCCTTTTGTCCTCCCGGCACAAAGGAGAGATTATTCATCTTCTAACGGAGCTCTCATAACTTTCGTGACATCGAAAGCACAATGTAACTAAGAGAACTATTTGCAACTTTAATGGTACAATATTGTTTGAAATTAAAGCAAAACTTGTTTACATTTAAGGTACATTGTCAACTTGTGGGTAACTTGGACCATGTCGAATGTGGATCACTTTACTTTGAAAGCATAGTTATGGTATGTCTGTAGCCAACTTGGGTTTTTCATTGGAGCTGCTGTGTGCTATAATATCGGTCCACACCAGCAATTAAGAAGGATAGAAACAGTACAATTCCGTTGCCTATGCGAGGTTGTACTTTAATTTAAGTTCATTTTCTTACTAACAGGTGGGAATAGGATGACCTAGTTGAAGCATAATAATAATATTATAGTGTATATATTCTGACTTCTAAACTTTAGGCTATATTGTTGGACATTTCAAAATTTTCTTTTTATTCTTTCTATTTATGATCATTTTACTTACTCTTTTAACCAGTCAATTCATCATTCCTAACAAATAGAAGGGAGTGTTGCAGACTTGTTAAATTTAGACACCCTAATAATAGGGTGCTGATAACTTATAAGAGGGCAGCATCGGTAGTCTAAACACAATTTTCCAATAGAATTTTCCCACTAATTAATTTCTAGCAAATATAGAGTTTGTTCTTTTGATACGCATACAAACAAGATTTTGATATGCATACAAATAATTGGAGATTCGTAAGAGACGCTGCAACTCAAGGTCTTTAGAAGCCATGCAGTGTGGTATATCAGTGTGGTATATCTTCTCTATAGATAATATTTACAAACGTGCCTTGATCCAAAATTTACAAGCTTTCTTTTAACTCTTTCTTTTATAGATTATTTTATTACATTAATTATTTGTATGGATTATTTTAGAAGTTCCTATTCCTAAACATATTTTGAACAACTTGCCAACAAAACATCCTCCAAAGACCAAAGAATGAGACGTAAAGGCATTCATGGATCAACTAAGTTTTGTAGCTCATATCTCATGCAATAAATGAGAGCTATAAATTTCAGTTGAGAGAGCACGAAGTTGTTACCCCCCAAACTCAAAAATGCACTACAAATACATGCTAGAGAAGTGGTGTAAGCCAGAACTAAAGCAAGCCACGCTAATGGAGGCACCAAAACAAGAACCAAAGGAAATGGCGATTCCTCCAAAGTCATTTGGGAAGAGAAAAAAATGGACCAAGCTCGACAAGGATGTTGCTTGTTCTCTCTTCTTTGTGCATCTACTTAGCATGTTTGCACCATTTTACTTCAATTGGAGGGCGTTTTGGATTGCCTTTGCATTATACGTCGCCACTGGCCTCTTTGGCATAAGTGTTTCCTATCACAGAAATCTTGCACACAAGAGCTTTACGCTTCCCAAATGGCTCGAATACTTATTTGCTTATTGTGGAGCTCATGCCCTTCAGGTAATTTGACAAACAGAGAATAAAGCATTTCAAAATATTCATTAGTGTAATTTGAAAATTTTTAATTATTTTTTTTAATGAACTTCAGGGCGATCCAATTGATTGGGTGAATACGCATAGATGTCACCATCGATTTGTTGATACGGAAAGAGACCCACATAGCCCAATTCAAGGATTCTGGTTCAGTCACATTACTTGGCTTTTGGATTCCTACTCTTTGACCAAAAGAGTTTGTCCGAAGTATTTCACCGATTTTCAAAAAGTTGAAAGAAACATCTTTGTGATGTTTTCAAAACATGGTAGACCCGATAATGTGGGCGACTTGGAGAAGCAAACCTTCTATAGATTTATTCATAAGACATATTTTCTTCATCCAATTATTCTTGCCATCATCCTCTACGCATATGGAGGAGCTCCTTTTCTTATATGGGGAATGGTAAAAAAATGCACTTTTCCAATTATAATTTGTGTTTCATCTTTAAAAATTAATATTCTAGATATAGTGATTAAAAAAGTAACATCAAATTCTTTGTCCTACAGGGTGTAAGGATCGTAGTGGTCCTACACATAACATGTATGATAAATTCAGTATGTCATATTTGGGGAAAACAGCCATGGAGGACAGGCGATTTGTCAAGAAACAATTGGTAATTTTTTTCTTCTTTTGCACATGGTTAATTACATTTCTAATCCGAAATATATATACTATTTGTATTATTCAATACTTTAGCAGATAAAATTCAAAAATAAATAAATAAATTGGTAATATATGGTTTAACACACTTTTCTTACCGAATAATTTCGATAATCACCATAAGTCTTGGAGAACACTCCAAGATAAGATACCTGCAAAAGGGAGTTCGCACTCCGAAACTCCTCCTRCTTTGTGTTTCGAAAGTTTTTATAAGGTCTCAAGTATTCGTCCGAACTCGCAACAATGCAGTATATTGATGATGTGTGATTTAAAGGAGAAATAACATCCAACACACCACCATCTGTTTTGTATATGTAGTTAATTATAACATCGTATTTATTATATATTTTTGTGTTGTTTTAGGTGGGTGAGTTTGGTTTCATTTGGAGAAGGATGGCACAATAACCATCATGCATTTGAATATTCAGCTCGGCATGGAATTGAATGGTGGCAAATTGACTTTGGTTGGTACGTTGTTATGTTTCTTGAAGCCATTGGAATTGCCACTAATGTCAAAGTACCCTCTCAAAACCAGAAGCAAAAGTTGGCAATCGACGCACCAAAAGAAGGCCTTTAGATGCTTTAAACATAAATTAGTCTACTTTTATAAATGTTTCAGACGAGAATAAAATTATACCTATATACACTATTTACTACTTGGTAAAAGTATGTAATCCAAAATTATATTGTTAGTATATTTACAAGAAAATCCGATTTCGCATCTCATATTCACTCTATTTTATTCTCAAATAAAGTTTATAGTAAAATGAGATATTTGACGAGCCGTCTCTAGCATTTTTATTTTGCGAATTATATTCAAAGCAAGAATCTGTACATCACGTCCAATTTGAGTTGGACGATAAAAACTTTGATAAACAATAGCAAGCTCTTGTTCTTTTACCTTCTTTCATGTGTAAATTGATCAACTTATTAATCAATTATTTTGCTCACCATCCGAACCCCATGTAACTTAGAATTTTCGAGCCTAACTTTTTTTTTCCTCTCTCGAAAGGTATGTATTGTATAATTTTTTTGGGTAGCTTTCTCTTCTAAGAAATTCAGAGTTAGACGAGCTGTGGGCAATAATCATCCGGATATTAATATTTTCTTAAAGAAAAAAACTTAAAACTACATATAACTAAAAAATTTAACAACCTAATTAAAAATCTAATAAAATCTTAAAATTAACTAATTAAGCATTATAAATTTAAATTAAATCTATCGTAGATAACCTTTGAGTAAGGCATAGACATTAATTCCGAGGCTATAAAAAAACTAAATTTATCATTAAAAAAGTTAAATGGAATGGTCCCTTCCCATAAATATTATTGGGAAAAAGTAGAGAACAACGACTCAATGATGGGGATGGTTCTTATTTCCCGAATATTCGAGACCAAGTACACGAAGCATATTTAATGAATTTTATATAAAAGCCCTATGAAAAAAATTACCCGCCACCGATTCAAATTCTAATTTTCTAAAAGTATTACTTCTCAACACTTTTAAATGGTTATTTTCAATTTATATGTTGCGGTTACACATTTGGTATGGAAGTATGTTTTTTAAGTGTATATATATTATTTATTTATTTTCATATATAGTGTGTCTCGTAAAAAAAAGGTCCGCGCTTTTATTTTGTCTCGCGCTTAAGCTCCAAAAGTCTATAGGATTTTAATGCACCTCGAGCTTTTAAAAATATTGGATGAGAGAGACAAAAACTAAACCTTAGGACAAGGTAAGAGAGAAACTATAGACGAGGGGTGAGAATCGGTGAACAAGGAACCGCAGGCAAAGGAAGAAGTCGCTGCTGGACTATTGGTGGCAAACAACAATTGACAAAGAAGCTAGATGATTGCTGGCAAACGAGGAAATAGCCGAACGATGAAGAAGAACGAGCATCGTGCGAGTAGGCTAGGGTTTCTTCAAGGTGGGCTTTTTTTTAAAGTTAAAACCATTTAAAATTAAAAAAAAAAAAAGAAAGAGTTGATCGCCTACCTTCAATGGCGAGTGCCATGGCGAGGGCGCGTCAAGGTGCAGTGAGGCCATGCCAAGGCAAGCGTGGAGGCTATACTATCTTTGTTATACATTATTATACCGATATCTTTTTTTTCTTTTATATAAACCAACAGATTTTCGAGAATAGAATGTTTTTATTTTATATAATTTTAAATTTGAATTTTGTAGAGTCTAGAAATTGAAAATTTGGAAATTAATTAATCATCTAATAATTAATATGTAATATTACAATTTATAGAAATTAATAAAATTATATTTTTAAAAATTAATGGCATTAAACAAACTATAATTCTTATAAATAAAAGCATTATGATTATTACTTCAAGTTTCATTCTTCTTCTTTATGGTATGTTTATATAGAAAATTCAATTCTACTTTTTTATTCAATAAACTAATAATCAAAATCTATAAACTGATATATCAACACCCTTTGATATAAAGTTTAGGCTCTAACACTGATTGATGTTATTATTATAAAGTAACCCCCAGTGGGTGGGTCGAATAGGGATATCTCCCTCCCTAGTTTGAGTTTGGGGTGTGCATAGTTGGATTTTCTCCCCTCCCACTTATTTGGGGATGAGTCCTGCAACATCAATTACAATGTTGGGTGGCGGTCGATATCTTTGAAAGGGATCCAACTGGTTAAGCCACACGACATCAATTTTGAATTATAGAAAAAAAAGTTATTATTATGCAGTTTATGATATAAAAATTTGTAAATGACAATTATAATGTAATATTAAATACTAAATTTTGAATGAAGCCTCCTAAATGAATATTCAGGATCTGTCACTGTTGTTTCCACCCAAACCAATGTATATGTATTGTGTAACTTATTATAATATGTTTCTAAATATTTTAATGATAACAAATCAATATAAACTAATAATTTGAGTGTTTCAAAGTGTTCATAGCATMGAGCCCGAACAAATTCAATGCCTTTTGAATCGTTCAAATCAGAGTTCAAACGAATAAGTTATAATAAAAATAAATTATGAGAAAAATTCTATGTGGCAGATGATCGTGGACAAGTGAAACACTTAGAGGTTGACATGTAGCATCAACAAATATATTTTTGTTGACGTGACATCCAACCATCGATCAATGAGAGAATGAGATGCGACGCTTTTAAATACGAAGAAATCAACAATTTATATAAATCTGTCAATCTCTATAGTCACTCTCAATCTCCCTAGTTTCTCAATCTCCACATTTTCTCCCCATCTCCATAATTTTTTTTCAACATTCGTGAGTGTCCAGACCAGTTTACCCGCACCTCCACTAATCTCATGAAACAACCATATGAGCCTATAATATTTGGTGCCGGCAACATAGGAATTAATTCCATAAAATTTTCTTTTTTTTTACTTGTCTTTCTTTTTAATCTACACCGTTTATCCTTTTTTACTCTAAATTCCATGACCAAACTTCATGTTCGAAATTCTATATAAAACCACCCACTCCATTTTTCGCGGCACTAATTTATTAAGCAAAAGCGAGTTTTATCTTCTTATCTTTTTGCTCTTTCAAATCTTAAATTCTTCGAAATTCTCTCATACACATAAAATTTATTTATATATATTTTCGTGAGAAATTTAAAGTATGACATTTTAGCCAAAAACTTGTTACCAATTTCTATTTGTAATTACTATATAATAAATAGTATTTTTTTAAAGGATAGTAAATAGTATTAGAAACGGTCTTAATCACTTCTTCAATTAAATCGTTTACTTTAAATTGGTTCATCCATTTTTTAATACAATTAATTTAGATTTAAATATATTTGACACTGGCATTTTTATTCTCTGTTTGTCAATTTTTTTAGTTAAAAACTTGTGGGTAGGAATAGTGGCAGATCCAAAATTTTATGTTAGGAGCACAAATGCATGTAAACATAAAAAATATCAATTTTAATCTTGAACTTTGTAATAGGTATGAATTAACACGCGAAACTTAATATAATTCAATTGATTAAATCACCTATCTCCGATCAAAAGGTTGTGAGTTTGCATCTCCACCCCACATGGTGTTATACTTTAAAACAAATATCAATTTGCATTATAGTTGTTTTTT